CTTCTGTGCAAGTGATTGTTTTCATCCCACAGACACTGGAAATTGGCACAATTTCTCTTTTAACATTGGCTACTAGAAAACTCAGCTGAATTTGCAGTTCATTCATGGGCATGAGGGTCATTATGCTGTTCCTTACCTTATTTTGTGCTCCTTTCACCTCCAGCCTTGCTTTTCTTTAACTCTACCGTTAATTACGCTGTCTTGTCATATTTTATGTATGTATATAAGCCAATCAGAATTCTTTTTGTAATAGTAAAGTAGTGAATTATATGTTTATTTTAAAAAAAAAAAAAGAAGAAGAAGAAGAAGCCCCTCAGTGAGGTGGTTTGCATAGTGACTCCAACAGTGTGCTCAGACGTCCCCACTACTGGGAGAGTGGCGTAGGACCAGGCACCATTTAGTTCTGTTAGACACGAGGTGGCTGTGAACCTGACGGCACCTGACAACATAATTTGCTGGTAAAAATAGAAATAGAAATGAATCTAACACACATATGGTGTGGCTGTTCCAGAGAATTACTTACGGTATATATAGGCCAAGGAACCCTGGTGGCACAGTGGCTAAGCACTCAGCTGCTAACCAGAAGGTTGGTGGTTTGAACCCACCAACCGCTCAGTGGGATAAAGAGGTGGCAGTCAGCTTCCGTAACCATTTACAGCCTTGGAAACCCTATGGGGCAGTTCTTCTCTGTCCTGCAAGTTCAGAATCGACTTGCTGGCAACAGATGATACATAGGCTGGTGGTTCTCAGGATGATTTTGTCCCGTGGAGGACATTTGGCAACATCTGGATTTCAAACTAAGAGCTCTGGTGACACTGTGGTTAAAGTATTGGGCTGCTAACCAAAAGGTCAGCAATTTTAACCTACCAGCCACTCTGTGTGAGAAAGATAAGGCAGTCTGCTCCCAAAAAGATTTACAGCCTTGGAAACCTCTTTTTTTTTCTTTTTTAATGAACATAATTCACTACTTTACTATTACAAAAAGAATTCTAATTGGCTTATATACATACATATAGGGTTTCCAAGTCCTGTAGGATCACTGTGAGCGAAAATTGATTTGATGCAGTAAATTTGGTTTTTTTGTTGTTGTCAAATTGAGGAATGCTACTGGCATTGGAACACTTGTGAGGATTTTTATTTTCTTTATATTGAGACTTAATCCATACTGCAGACTGTATTCTTCATCCTTCATCAATAAGTGCCTCAAGTTATCCTCACTTTCATCAAGCAAAGTTGTATCGTCTGCATATCTCAGTTTCTTAATGATACTTCCTCCAATCCTGATGCCACGTTTTTCTTCATACAGTCCAGCTTCTCAGATTATTTGCTCACCATATAGATTGAATAAGTGTGGGGAAAGGATACAACCATGACGCTCTCCCTTCTTGACTCTAATGCAGTGACCCCTTGTTCCGTTCAAACAAAAGCCTCCTGTCAAGGTATAGGTTCCTCATGAGTACAATCAGGTGTTTGGGAATTCCCATATTTCTCAATGTTATCCATAATTTGTCATGATCCACACAATCAAATGCCTTTGCATAGTCAATAAAACACAAGTAAACATCTTTCTGGTATTCTTTGCCTTAAGCCAAGATCCATCTGACAGCAGCTATGATAACCCTTGTTCCACATCCTCTTCTGAATCCAGCTTGCACCTCTGGAAGTTCTCTGTCAATATACTGCTGCAACCGTTTTTGAATTATCTTCAGTAAGATCTTACTTGCATGCAATATTAATGATATTGTTCTATAATTTCTACATTCTGTGGGATCCCCTTTCTTTGGAATGGGTACAAATATGGATCTCTTCCAGTCAGTTGGCCAGGTAGTGTCTTCCAAATCTCTTGGCATAACCGAGTGAGTGCCTCCAATGGGGCATCCGTTTGTTGAAATATCTCAATGGGTATTCCGTCAATTTCTGGAGCCTTGCTCTTCACCAATTCTCTCATTGCAGCTTCAACTTCCTCCTTCAGTACCATTTGTTCCAGATCATATGCCACTTCCTGAAATGGATGAAGATCGACCAGTTCTTTTTGGTATAGTGACTCTGTGTATTCCTGCCATCTACTCGTGATGTTTCCTGCATCATTCAATATTTTGCCCATAGAATCTCTCAATATTACAACTCAAGGCTTAAATTTTTTCTTCAGTTCTTTCAGCTTGAGAAGTGCCAAGCATGTTCTTCCCTTTTGGTTCTCAAACTCCAGGTCTTTGCACATTTCATTATAGTAATTGGTTTTGTCTGCTTGAGCTGCTCTTTGAAATCTTCTGTTCAGCTCTTTTATCTTGTCATTTCTTCCATTGGCTTTAGCTACTCTCCACTCAAGGGCAAGTTTCAGAGTCTATTCTGTTACCAGTTTTGGTCTTCTCATCTTTTTTAATTATCTCTTGCTTTCTTCATGGATAATGTTCTTGATATCCTCCCACAATTCTTCTGGTTTTCAGTCATTGATGTTCAGTGCATCAAATCTGTTCTTTAGATGATCTCTAAATTCAGGAGGGATATATTCAAGATCATATTTTGGCTCTCTTGGACTTGTTTTAATTGTCTTTAACTTCAAGTTGAATTTGCATATGAGCAGTTGATGGTCTGTTCCACAATCAGCTCCTGGCCTGGTTTTGGCTGAAGATATTGAGCTTTTCCACCGCCTCTTGCCACAGATGTAGTCAATCTGATTCCTGTGTGTTCCATCTGGTGAAGTCCATGTGTAGAGCTACCGTTTGTGTTGTTGAAAAAAGGTGTTTGCAATGAATAAGTCATTGGTCTTGCAAAATTCTACCATACGAGTTCCAGCATTATTTCTGTCACCAAGGCCAAATTTTCCAACTACCGGTGATTCTTCTTTGTTTCCAACTTTTGCATTCCAGTCACCAGTGATAATTAACACATCTTGATTGCATGTTTGGTCAATTTCAGACTGCAGAAGTTGATAAAATTCTTCAGTTTCCTCATCTTTGGCTTTGGTGGTTGGTGCATAAATTTGAATAATAGTTGTATTAACAGGTCTTCCTTGTAGGCGCATGGATATTATCCTGTCACTGACAGCATTGCTCTTCAGGACAGATCTTGAAACATCGTTTGTGATGATGAATGCCACGCCATTCCTCTTTAAACTGTCATTCCCAGCATAGTAGATCACATGGTTGTCTGATTCAAAATGGCCAAAACCAGTCCATTTCAGCTCACTAATGCTGAGTATATCAATCTTTATATTTCCATTTCATTTTTGACAACTTCCAATTTTCCTAGATTCATACTTTGTACATTCCATGTTCCGATGATTAACGGATGTCTGCAGCTGTTTCTCCTCAATTTGAGTGGTGCCACATCAGCATATGGAGGTCTCGAAAGCTTTACCTTGTCCATATGAGTAAGGCTGGGTTTACTCTGATGATGCAGGTTCTTTCCCAGTCCTATTTTGAGAGCCTTCTAACCTAACTGGACTATTCCTAAAGTTGCACGGTAATGTATCAGACATTGTTTCTTTGCTATTCATAAGGTTTTTTCTGGCCAGTTCTTTGAGAAGTGGACGGCCTCTTCCTTTTTCCTAGTCTGTCTCAGTCTGTAAGCTGGGCTGATACCTGTGCACCATGTGCATCACGCTAGGTTTGAAACACCAGTGACTCAGCCTCAAAACTCACATCAACATTTCACCACGGTAGGAGAAACCGACAGACAAGTTTGTCTTCCTGTTGGAAACCTCTCGTAACACCCTTACCTGGGTCCCTGTGGCTGACTCCTCCTCTGTCCAGGTTCCTGGGCCTTTTAATCCCCTTTCTCCCACTTTCCCACCCTTCTGCTTTGCACATGCCCGGGTTCCCTCTCCTCACCTGGATCCCTGTGGCTGACTGCTCCTCTGTCTGGTTTTTAATCCCCTTTCTCCTGCTCTCCCGCCCTGCTGCTTTGGGCATGCCTGGGTTCTCTCTCCCACTTGGATCCCTGTGGCTGACAGCATCACAATAAATGGAGAGAAGATTGAAGTTGTCAAAGAATTCACATTGCTTGGTTCTACAATCGATGCCAGTGGAAGCAGCAGTCAGGACATTAGACAACGTGTAGCACTGGGAAGGTCAATCGTGAAGGAACTGTTTCAAGTGCTGAGGAGCAAGGATGTCTCCTTGAGGACTAAGGTGTGCCTGACACAAGCCATGATATTTCCAGTCGCCTCATATGCATGTGAGAGCTGGACAATGAATAAGGAAGACCAAAGAATAGTTGATGCATTTGAGTTGTGGTGCTGGCAAAGAATGCTGAAAGTACCATGGACTGCTAAAAAAAACTAACTGATCTGTCCTGGAGGTTGTGCACCCAAAATGCTCCTTGGAAGTAAGAATGGCCAGACTTCATCTCACCTGCTTTGGTCATGTTGTCAAAAGGGACCATTCCCTGGAGAAGGATGCCATGCTTGGTAGGGTGGAGGGTCGACGAAAGAGGGGAAGGCCTTCAACGAGATGGACTGACACATTGGCTGTGATGATGGGCTCAAGTATAGCAGGGATCATGAAGCTGGTGTGGTCTCGGGCAGTGTTTCGTTCTGCTGTGCATAGGGTCGCTATAAGTCGGAAACCACTCAGTGGCACCTAAAAACAACAACAACCGGCATTCTACATTGCACATAACAGCCACCCACTACATAAAATTATCTGACCTAAAATGAAAGTAGTGCTGAGGTAGAGAAGCCCTACCGTAGACCAAACATTCCAAGGCCCTGAGAAGTACGCTACGTCATGATGCATGTTTCTCCATATATCTTGTTCTGGCATTCAGTGTATATTCCGAGTGGGAAAGTTGGTTATTCTTCCACTAAATCTGTCATCACATATTCTCAAAAGCAAGGTTTTTTTTTTCCCCCTTCAGAAATCTTAGTTATTATACCCACTAAGTCGGATCAACAAAATTGAAGGGAAGGGTACTTTTCAGTTGAGTCTCAGGTACTTGAATGGTTGATGACGTGGCCTTGTAAATGAGTCTGTTCTCTGTGCCCTCCTTTCTCTTTGCAGGCTTTCATAGAGACCATGTATACCAGGAAAGCACCTGTGGAGGAAGCCTTTCTTTATGCCAAGGTGAGCTAGATAGTTGGAAAGGTCTTGTGGCAGGGACTGTCAAATATAATTTCATTGACTTGCAGATGATATCTGGTTGGCTTTCGTGGAAGTGGCTGAGATGTCAGTGGAGAAAATTTGGTTCTTAAAAGGCACTAGTAGTTTATTAGTATGCAGTATTACAGTTAAATGAAGAAAATTGCCAAGTAGAAGATGAAGAAGGAAAGACTGACTCAAATGTGAGATGAGACGAATGATACAGTTTAGATTAATGTTAGGGAAGAGTCTGAGGTAGTTCCAGAGACAATGCCAGACACTTGTCAGCCTCTAGCAGCATCCTCGCGCTCTGCCATTTGCCGGCATCCTTTTACAGTTTTTAAGCTGAAAGCTACTTGAAAGGTTAAAATCAGTACCGTATTTTACCCAAATAACAATGCATTATGTGTGTTTCATATCATGTAAACCCACACACACACATTTTTTTTTTATAAATGTGCTATAGCAGTATTAAAAAAAAAAAAAAAGTTGCTTACTTCAGTTTCTGTTTTTTTTCTGTGCATTGGATTTAACGTTTAGTCCTGGGCTTGGTGCTCATGGACACAGAGGTTTGGGTCCCAGCAACAAACCCTCACCAGTCTGTCCTCGGGTTTCTAAAGCAGCCCCTCACCCAGTAGGAGTCCTTCTCTGATTTTGTCCAATGCAGAAAGAAATCATTTTTCCTTTCCAGAAGCAGCCTTCACCAGGACAGCCGGCCCCAGCCTAGGAGGTGCTCAGGTCTGCGCACCCCAGCTCACAGAGGCCGCCCAGGTGGGCGAGACCAGCGCACTACAGCTGTGTGCATTCTGCCTTGCCATCGAGCTGGCCAGCCACCTACTCAAGCTGTTTGAATCTCCTGCCTGTGCAGACGCTGTGGGGCAAGAGCTGCTGGTGCAGAGGAGTCCCACATCCCTCACTTGCAGATCTGGGACAGTGCACATCTGCACCCACACTCCCCTGAGGCTCACCTTCACACAGGACCAGCACCATGAGACCCAGACACACGGGAGCAACAGTCGCTGCCCGCCGCAGGACCAGTGTGGACTTGGGCTGTGGCATCCCTGCATAGAGCCTTCTGCCCAGCCCTCCCCCCGTTCCCAGGGTGACATATCTGGGTGCAGAGCAGCTGCAAGCAACTCCACTGCTTTCAGGCCTGGCCACAAACTGCCCCAGAGCAGATGCACAGTTTCAGCTGTTTATTTTCTGATTAGTAGGGTACTACTAAACTCGATCCATGATTCCTTGACCGTGGTTTATACCTTAATTATACAAATTAAATCAAAAGAAACATTTTCAAACTGTTGAGTGAAGGTGAATGAGGCTAAAATTCAGTTCTGGAAATGTCATGAGATATGCACAGTGTATGCATGGGTGCCCATGCCAGAACTTTTAAACATAATTTCATAATTTTTACACATTACATGCATGTGGATGTTACTTACATGGGTGTGCCGTTTGCAGAAAATAACAGTAATTTAGAGCTATTATTAAAAAATGCAAATTATATCCACCCCATGTTTATCTAAATAAGAAATGAACAATAACCTTTCATGATTGCATCTCGGTACTCGGCCCTGAAACCAGGTCTTGGTGTCCTCTTGTGGTCCTTAACAATCATAAGAAATTTATAGAGCACTCGGAAGAGAAGAGGCTTAGTAATAGGGTTGAGGAATAAGACTGGTGAGAGAAAAAGAGTACGGAGTATATTTAGCGTAGATGATAGCATGTGGGTGAGAAGAGAAATGGACTGAAGGTACAACATAGAAAGTTTGGCCGAGCATGAGGAATAGTGCTGTGGCGTGACTGTTGAAGACAGCCAGCTGGGCACCACTACAGAAATCCTTTCCGTTGTCATATCTTGCTGTTGTTTTTCAGTTTGAATTTGAATGCCGGACTCGTGGCGCAGACATCTTAGCCTACCCACCTGTGGTTGCTGGTGGAAATCGGTCAAACACTCTGCACTATGTGAATAATAATCAACTCATCAAGGTACACGCAATGCCCTTTCTCTCCCATACTCCTTCCACAAGGTCCACATGCTTGAGTAGAAAACTCACCAGCTTCCTGCTGCCCTGTTCTCCAGCTCTCACAAATTAACTGCCATTTATAAAGACCTTATAAAATCCTTTTACAGACCTTATCTCATTTGATCCTCGCATTAGCACTGGGGGATCAGAGCAATTATTGGCATGCCTGGTAATAGATAAAGAAAATTAACCTTAAAAAATTAAGGTACTTATTCATAATGCAGAGCCATGTACTTTACTCTATGGCTTCTGTTCGTTTCATTTTGTAACACTACTTCTCTAAGGATTTGGGAAGACAGTATGTCATTCTATTTATATAAAATTCTAAAATAGGCAAAAGTAATCTATGGTAGAAGGAATGAGATCTGTGGTTGGGTCTGGTGGGGGTTGACTAGGAAGGGGCATGAGGGTGTGGTTACCTGGGTATATACATTTGACTAAACTGATTGAACTCTACATACGGGCAGCTTAATGGACGACTCCTACTTGCCCTGTAATGCAGGGCTTCACCTGCTTCTGTCGTGGCCAACAAAGCAAAATGGGAACAAACTCAAACTGTACAATTTGAGTGATTCATCACAGTAGCAGGAATTGAAGCCTGATGTATGAGATTGGATTATTGACAGGGCTGTGGAGAGCCATACACATTGAAAGCCATCTTTGAAGCCCTCCTTTAATAGTATGTGAATTTGCCCTCATTTTGAAACAACTGAATTGACCCTATACTCACAACAAATTCATCACAGTCACCTTCACTTACTACACATGCAGCTTTTGAATCATTGAAAAAGGCTTTGAGCCTTTTCTTGCACTAAAGTAAGCATCTGTTCTGACTGACATACAAATTCTTAAAGACATAGTTAGGAACACATTGTAACCTGGGGACTGCCTGTGCGTTAAGATTTGTGCATTTTACTGTATATGAATTATATTTCCAAAACATTATTGGTTTAAAAGAAAATCTCACTAGATGTTTGTTGATTTTTACTAGTCTTTTAAAGCCAGCGTTTGGCATCATTTACCCTTCCTCAACCACTCATCTGTCAGTTTGTCACACTGGGGTGGCTTGTGTGTTGCAGTGATGCTGGAAGCTATGCCACCAGTATTTCAAATACCTACAGGGTCACCCATGGTGGACAGGTTTCAGCCAAGCTTCCAGACTAAGACTGGGAAGAGGGACCTGGCAGTCCACTTCTGACAAAGTTGGCCAGTGGAAACGTTATGCATAGCAGTGAAACATTGCTATCATGCCAGAAGGTGAGTCCCTGAGGTTGGAAGGCACTCTGACTATGACTGGGGAAGAGCTGCCTCCGCACAGTGGAATCAACCTAAATGATGTGGATGGAGTAAAACTTCTGGGCTCTTCATTTGCTGATGGGGCACAACTCGAAATGAGAAGAAACAGCTGGAAACATCCATTACTAATCAAAATGTGAAACGTACAAAGTAGGAATCTGCGAAAATCAGGAGTCATCAAAGGTGAAATGAAACACATAAAGATTGATATCCTAGATTAGTGAGCTAAAATGATCTAAAAGGTCATCAGGGCGACATCTGACCTCCTCTAACTTCACAAGGCGAAAAAGCGTCCAGAACAACATCAATAGCCCAATGCTTATTCCTATGAGGCAGAAGTCTCTGGCTTTTTGCTTGGGATCCTGCATCTGGCTCCTCACCACTTGTACTTGAACCAATGGCCCACCGTACTGCCTGCTGGTTTTGAGGTTGTTGCCTTTGCAGCCCATGAATCAACAGCCTGCCATTTTCCCTGCTGATCTTGGAGTTGTCAGTCTCTGAAGCCGGCAGCGTGCTGTATTGCCTGCCAATTTGGGGTACATCAGTACTTTCTGCTGCGTGAGTCAGGAGAAGCCTCCAACTTAATGTATGACCCACAGACTTGGGACTTGCCATCCTCTCCAACTGTGTGGGCCATTTCCTTTAGATAAATATCTTTCTCCCTAACTTTCTTTCCCTAATAGTCTCTCCCTGCCCTCCCCCATATGTGTATATCTGGTGGCGTAGTGCCTAAGGCACTTGACTGCTAACCAGAAGGCTGGCAATTCAAACCCACCAGCCACTCCTTGGAAGGCAGGTTGGGCAATCTACTTCCATAGTGATACTGCCTCGGAAACCCAAGGAGGGGTTGTTATGAGTCAAGTCTGACTCAACGTTACATAACAACATGTATATATATAAAACGCAAAAACGAACACACTGCCGTGGAGTCGAATCCGACTCATAGTGACCCCCTCTCCTTGGGTTTCTGAGGCGGTATCACTATGGAAGTAGATTGCCCAACCTTCCTTCTGAGGAGTGGCTGGTGGGTATGAACCACCAGCCTTCTGGTCAGCAGTCGATGCCTTAAGCACTATGCCACCAGAGCTCCCGTGTAAGTGCCTGTGCCTGTGCGTGTGCGTGTGTATGTGTGTATGATACAAATTAAATCAAAAGTAACATTTTCAAATTATTGAATGAAGGTGAATGAGGATGAAATTCATATATATGCTACACTGGTTTTTCTCTTTAGAGGATGTGGTAGTTAAGATTATTTGTCAACTTGCCTGGGCCTGCTTTTGAGTGGCTGGGGAGCTGGATGTTTTATTCACCATGATGAGATTGGTAATCAGCTCCCTGGTGGACTCTACTACAGCAGCTGAGTACCTGCCTTAGGGATGTGGTCTGCTTCTAGTATATAAGGAGAAGTTTTGAGAAAGGCATCTGAGGTTTTTGACACGCTTGGCCCCTGCATGTAGCTGAGTCTTCTTCATTCAGCCAGCCATGTTGTCTGCTGATCTTAGGATTATTCCTGGACTTGAACCAGTGCCCTGCTGTGTTGTTTGATAATCTTGGGACTATACCATTTTACTTGTCGACCTTTGGTTTGTCAGCCTCATCAGCTAGCAACTAAGTTAAGAGATGCTTTAAGCTTCAGTGGGCTAGGAGTAAGAGACAGAGCTGAAGCCCAAGGTCAAGGGACTTTCACCCACCTCTAGAACTGGCACTTTGAATTCAAACTTTCAGCCTCCTAACTGTAAGAGAATAAATTCCTATTTGTTAAAGCCATACATTTGTGATATTTTCTCTTAGAGCAGCACAAGAGAGCCAAAACAGAGAACTCAGCCTAAGGCAAGATGTTTCAACAAACAGATGCAATGCTGGAAGCACTTATTTGTTTCAGCCAAAAAATTTGGAATACAGCTAACTGACCAACCAACTGGAAGATACCCATATTTGTGCCTATTTCCAAAGAAAGGTGATGCAACAGAGTGTAGAAATTATCAAACAGTATCATTGATATCACATGCAAGTAAAATTTTGTTAAAAATAATTCAAAACCAGTTGCAGCAGTACATCAACAGGGGACTGCCAGAAATTCAAACCGAATTTAGAAGAGGACATGCAATGACGGCTATCATTGCTGATGTCAAATGAATCTTGGAAAATAATGAGGAAGATGTTTTGTATGTGTTTTATTAACTACATAAAGTCATTTGACTGTGGATCATAACACATTATGGGTAACATTAGAAAAATGGGAATCTCAGAACACTTAATTGTGTGCATGAGGAACCTGTACATAGACCAGGAGGCTGTCTGTTGAACAGAACAAGGGGATATTGCATGGTGTAAAATCAGAAAAGGTGTACATCAGTGTTGTGTCCTTATAACCATACTTAACTCAGTCTGCATGCTGAGCAAATAATCTGAGAAGCTGGACTATGAAAAATGTGGAATCAGGATTGGAGGAAACTCATTAACAACCTTTGATAGTAGATGATACAACCTTGCCTGCTGAAAGTGAACAGGACTTGAAGCACTTACTGATGAAGATCAGAGACTGCTGTCTTCAGTTTGGATTATACCTGAACATAAAAACAAAAATCCTCACAAGACCAATAAGCAGCATTATGATATATGGAGAAAAGACTGAAGTTGTCAGAAATGTCATTTTACTTGGATCCACAGTCATTGCTCCTGGAAGAAGCAGTCAAGAAATCAGATGACTTATTGCACTGGGCACATCTGCAAAAGACCTCTTTAAAGTGTTAAAGAGCAAAGGTATCACTTTGAAGACTAAAGGGTGCCTGACATAACCATGGTATTTTCAGTAGCCTCATTTGCATGTGAAAGCTGGAAAATGAATAAGGAAGACTGAAGAATTGACGCATTTGAATTGTAGTGTTATCGAAGAGTCGTGGACTACCAGAAGAATGAATGAGTCTGTCTTGGAAGAAGTACAGTTGAGTGCTCTTTAAAAGCAAAGATGGTGCGACTTAATCCTTCATACTTTGGTCATATTATCAGGAGGGATCATTCCCTGAAGGAGGCTATCGTGCTTGGTAAAGTAAAAGGTCAGTGACAAAGGGGAAGGGCCTTAATGAGAAAGATCGACACAGCGGCTCCAGTAATGGGCTCAGGCGCAGCAATGGATGAAGGTGGTGCCGCACTGAGCAGTGATTGGTTCTGTCGCAGGTGAGGTGACTGTGAGTCAGAACCACCTTGATGGCCCCTAACAACACCAGCAGCAGTTCTTTCTGTTCTATTGCTGTTTTCTGTTTCTTCGTTTTGTGCTCTTGTCTTTATTATTTTTATCCTTCTCATCTTTGTGTTTGTTCTGTTCTTTATCTAATATCTTAAATTGGATGCTTAATTCATTGATTCTCATTTTTTCTTCTAAGTAGTTAAGGATAGATTTCTTACGTTCACTATATGCCATAAGCTTTTTCTGTTAAGTTGTGAAATGTATCATACCTAAGAGCAATTACAGTAATGTACAGTTTAAAAGTGATAATGAACACCCATGTGTCTACCATCGAGGATAAGAAGAACATTATAGTTATCATGGAGGTCCTATGGGCAATTCCAGTCACATCCTCCTTCCAACCCTGCAGAGAGAACTAATGTCTAAACTTTTGTTTTAATCATTCTTTTACTTTATAGTTTTACCACTAATGTATCTGT